GGCACATTTCATTCCATGCCATAAGACGGATGATGCAAACAATGTGGCTGATTTGTTCTTCAAGGAGATCGTGAGATTGCATGTAATGCCGCGTACCATTGTGTCCGATCGAGATGCAAAGTTTCTGAGCTATTTTTGGAAGACGTTGTGGAGTAAACTCGGCACAAAGCTTCTGTTTTCGACAACTTGTCATCCTCACACGGATGGACAAACTGAAGTGGTCAATCGTACTCTATCCCAAATGCTACGAGCCGTGATCAAGAGCAACATCAAAACTTGGGAAGATTGTCTACCACATGTTGAGTTTGCCTACAATCGAGTTGTGCATTCAACCACAAAGCATTCGCCTTTCGAGCTCGTGTATGGGTTCAATCCACTTACACCATTGGATTTGACACCTCTGCCATTGAAGGAACAAGTCAACATGGATGGAGCAAAGAGGGCCGAATTTGTGAAGAATCTCCATGAGAAAGCAAGATTGAACATCGAGAGAAGGACGGAGCAAATCATGAAGAACGTCAATCGAAATAGGAAGCCTCGATCATTTGAAGCTGGAGATTGGGTGTGGGTGCACATGAGAAAGGAAAGGTTCCCTTATCAAAGGAGATCCAAGCTGCTACCTCGAAGTGAAGGTCCCTTCCAAGTGATTTCGAAGGTTGGAAACAATGCTTGCAAGATCGATTTGCCAGGAGAATATGGGATAAGTGCAACCTTCAACATTTCTGACCTTGCACCATATTTGGAGGACAACTCGGATTTGAGGTCAAATCCTTTTCAAGAGGGAGGGACTGATGAGGTCATCAAATCCAAGTCCAATTCATCACACGAAGGTCCAATTACTCGTCTACAAGCCAAGAGATTAAGAGAGGAAATTGTTGCTTATTTGGATCGACATTATGCTCAATTGGACATGGACCAACATCATGGGAAGCCCATTATACTTCTACAATTCGTGAACCAGCATGGAGGCAACTTGGGCTTCAAGGAAGGTGGATATGAAGGCTAGATTTTAAGGAGTTGTTGATTTGGTCTTTTCCTTGTCTTTTAAGGATTGTGTTTTCCTTTTACTTTTCCTTTAAGGTTTTGTTTTCCTTTTAATTGTAGGATTTGGTCATTTGTTTGCTTTCTTTCTTAGTTTAGGATTGGATTTTCGTTGCCTATATAAGGAGGATGATCCCCTCATTGTAATTCATTCTATTATAAATCAACTTTCAAGTTTCAAGTTCAAACGAACTGGTTCTTTGTGCAAGCTTCTGTCGAGAGTGCTCCAGAGGTTTCACGTGTCACTTATCAATTAGAGAACACGTCTAGTTGTGGCGAGCTTCTACCCTATATCAATTGCCCCTTTCCACGAGTTGGTGTTGTCCGATTGGTTTCATATACCAATTTCCCTTCATCACGGTTGGGATTGTCCGATTGATTCCGCATCTATCTTTATTTGTCGAGTTCAAGAAAGGCGACATCAGAAAATCATAAAAAGATCGTTGAAGCTGCGTACTTTGGTCATATCACATTTTCATTTTCTCCTATATTCTTCAATCAATCAAAGATTAGTACATTTTGGTACCCAATATGTTTTAGGCATACCAAGTTTCCTTAATCCTTGCAAGTCATAACAGTTTTTGCCAAATGACCCTGTCTTCTACAGTGAGTGCAAACATATATTACAGGATAATTTGTAGCTTTAATTCTAGAAGATCTTCTGTTGTAGGCACTATTCCTTAAGGGATATTTCTTCTGTTAATGCCTTCTTGAGAGATGCAGGTCATTTCTTATCGGATTTATGTCAGTTTTTGACTGACCACAGTGACAAGTTTGTCTTAATTTCTCATTTTCCTCTTTTAGATCAAAGATTTCTTTATGCAGCAGGTTTTGACATTCATGTTGACTGGCTGCTTCCCTTTTTAAACTATCAATTTGTTTCATCATGGCATGATTATCAGTCATCAGTAGGCAAAATCTGCTTTTAAGTCTGTTACATTCTTCCTGAAGATTCTTTAATACATACAGAAAATCTGATTTTGACTTAAAACACATGTTGTTTTCAGAGTCAGATTCAGGGATTACCTTATAACTTGATGGAAGTGTCTGATCTTCATTTTCTGAGGATGAATCACTTTCCTCATACTTGGTGGCGAAGGCCATGTATGCCAGGTTCCTAGCTTCAAGTTCTTCTTCTGAGCTGTAGTCACTCCAGGTGGCAGCTAATGCTCTTTCTTGGTTCTTGGAGTTTAGTGGACATTTGGATCTCACATGTCCTGTCTTACCACACTTGTAGTAACAGATTGTTAAATCCTTTTCACTGGAAGACTTGTGGTCTTCCTTACTTTCTTGTTTAAACCTTTCTCGTCCCTCATTTGGTTTCTCAAAGATTCTAAAGGAGTTTCTTTCAGCATGTGATTTATTAAAGTTACTCCTATCACTTTGCCTAAAGGATAGTCTTTTAGTACCTTCTCTTCTGGATTCAAAAGGTCTATTAAACTGTCTAGACTCATTATATCCCTTTCTATCTTGAAAGTCTCTTTTCATTTGTAACATTCAGTGAAATTTCTTACCGATTAGAGCAAGTTCCTTCTCAAATTCCTCCCCTAGTTCATATTCTGTATCACTATCATAATCTTGAGCTTTGAAAGCAATAACCTTTTTACGTCGATTGTCTTCTTTGTTCATTTATATGATCACTTGTTCATGACTCAACAGGGAACCTACTAGACTTTCAATAGATAACACATTCAGATCCTTGGCTTCTTCTATTGCAGTTCTTTTGGGTAGCCATTCCCTAGGTAAACTTATGAGTATCTTTCTAACAAGGTCTTTGGTAGCAAATGTTTTCCCTAAGCCTTTCAGCCTATTAATAAGATCATTGAATCTTTTATACATACTAGATATTGATTCTCCAGAGTTCATTTCAAATGATTCATATTCATTTAATAGCATGTCAATTCTACTTTCTTTTACTTCTGACGTACCTTCGTGGGTAGTCTGAAGAGACTCCCATATATCCTTAACTGTTTCACACTGAGCCACTTGACTCCTTTCTTCTAGACAGAGGGCAGAGAACAGAATGTGCATTGCCCTTGAATCCAGTTGAGATGAGATTCTTTGCTCATCTTCCCCCTTTTCTTCATCTTCTTCATCCATAGGGATGGGTCCTTTGCGGACAATTCCCCAAATATCTCCATCAATACCGCGTAGATAGATCATCATTCTCTTCTTCCAGACTGTGTAATCCGTCCCATCGAACCATGGCGGATTTGTACTTGCAGAATATGAAGCTGATGCAGATGATGATCTTGTCATCCTAGTCGGATCCTCTTCAGCGATTGCTAATCCTTTGAAGAGTCCGCTCTGATACCAATTGTTGATTTTGAATTAGGAGAAATTCTTGATGCACAGTACTCAGCAACACTTAGTTTGACAGATTGAGGAAAAACAAAATGATTTTATTCTAGTAAAGAAAGAAACAATTCGATTACAGACACAACTCTAGCCAAGCCAATCTCGTTGGCTCTTTAGAAACACAGTAAAGACAACTACTTCCCAAACTTTAAGTCATCCAGATTGACATCACTATGACAAAGCTACTTGAAGCAACAACAGGACATAATGCAGAAGAAACACTCTAATATTTCACTCACTACAAACCGCCAAATCTCTTAGCTGAAGATAATACCTAATTTATACAAGGAAAGTCATGGAGCCGTTTGGAGAAGATGACAGTTGTTGGGGACTCATCATGATCCTGCCTTGGAAGCTTTTGTAGAGGCGGTGCCTCCTACTCCTTGATCTGGACTGAGAGCAGGGGAGCTGGAAATCGTGACAAGCGCTTCTCGATGAGGTAGAGACCTTTTCTCGGAGAAGATGAGAAGGCCTTCAGATTGATTTGTTGCTTTACTGTTTGTGTTTGATACACTTGGAAGAGCGAAACGTCATCGTAGAACAGAGGTCACAAACGGTGTCGTGCAATGCTGCTGAAGCGGGCACCGTTTCAGCCAACAGAGTCGGCTGCACTGCCCCATCTGTTGAAGTGAAATGGCCACATGAGTTATTCCAAATACTTACAGACTCAAAACTTAATTATTTTGTATTTTTAGATCCTTATACGAGATGTGTCTCTATTGTGTTGGGCTACCTTGCAAACTTTAATAATTTACGTGAACTATTATATCAAATTGTTGGATTGCAGAAATTGCAAATGGTCTGATTAAAAAGCACGTTCCATGGTCTAATCATATTGTTGAAGTTTCCTGGCCAGAGGAAGGTGGTCCTACATTAGGAGCAAGAGATCTGGTAGTGTGACCACACAAACTCAAGAATATATAAACAGAAGCTCACAAGTTACAAAATTGAGGAGGATACTGTCCGAGCTATTCTGGCTATTCCGTTGCCTATGTCTCCGGTGCCTGATCGTATGGTTTGGAATGGGGAGCAATCAGGTCGCTATACGGTCAAGTCAGGCTATCACTTAGCAGTGGAGCTACGGAGATATAAGGAGTTAAGGGTGAAGGCGAAAGTGCAGGTGTGGGATCGTAGTCTATGAAAAAGGGTTTGGGGGGCGCCATACCTCCCAAGTTGCGGTATTTTATATGGCAGATGGTTCGCGGTGTCTTGCCAACTAGTGAGGCACTGAGTACTCGGGGGGTAGGGGGGCTGGAGCCATGTCCAGTCTGCGGGGAGGAGGGGGAATCTCTTGAACATCTCTTCTTCCGCTGCCGAGTAGCGGTGGAGTTGTGGGAAGGGGCGGAGCTTCTGGCCCTTCGCGATCGCTTCCCCCATTGCAATGTTGGGATCTTTTGGCGCAGGTTACTCGAGTGGCGGGAGCTTGATCAGGGAACCATGATGCATGTTGTAGCCCTTTTCTGACGCATTTGGAAGGCCCGTAATTGGGTGGTCTTTTGAGTGACGGTTGGTCGCATTATCTGGTACGGTTAATCGAGAGCTCACCGTTTCCCATCCCTAATTACAAAGTGATCGGTCTTACTCTCTAGTCTCTACTCAATCCAAACTCCAGAGTCTGAAGTCTAAACCCGCGAAAAAACTTGCGCCGATCAACACACCGTACCCTCTTTCAAATGATATCGGAGGGACGGACGGAACGATAACTAACGTATCAGTACCACATTCGTGAACTGATTGAATCCGCCCCGAATCCTACCGACAACAATCGGGCATGAATCGGATTCAGGCGACCGACGAGCTCTCTTTCCGGGTCGGCTTCTCCGGTCATAGCGGCCACCTCCGGGTGGAGCCTATCTCCACCGTCGAGCGTGACGACCCAATCAAGTCTCTCCCAGATTTCATACTCGTTAGTTACTCTTTCTCCTACGATGCCTGCTGCTTCATTGTATTCGTGTTTTCTGCACTTTCTTTTACTTCTTATGCCCTTTTCCCCACCTTGGAACTGTTTGTTTTCTAGCAGATGTATCCCTTGCTATTTAGGGTTTTCAATTGTGTCTGAATGTTGAAATTGCATTATGCTTATGTGACTGTGACTGGCAGCCCCCGGCATTTCCTGAGGAAACTTATGAATCTATAAAGGAGCATATAGAGGAAAGGTACTTGTTGCCGAGGTTAGACGAGGAGGAATTCTCTGCCGAGAAAGCCGGGAGGCAATGGGAGTTTGATTGGTTTGAGAGGGTAAAAGTACCGTTGGAGCCATCACAGCCTCGGTCAGTGGTGGTGCCAACGTGGGAGCTGCCTTTCAGAAGGAACCAAAAGGGTTCTACACAAGGAGTATGGGAGCCCAATTCGGTCGAGGTATGAGGTCCTCGCTAGACGTGTTCCTTCTTTTTGACATTTACTTGATATTTTCAATCTAGCATAAAGGACGTTACTATCAGTTGCCTGCCTGTTAGACTTCTTATAGGGGTTTGGGGGATGTAACTGGAAGGCTTCTAAATGTTGACTTCTTCTAGAGGACTGCATGTTTTGTTTTTTTTAGGTGGATGTGTTAGAATTAACTGTTGGAGATCAAGAGTATGGCCCTCTTCCACGCATGACTGGGCCTGCGAAGGATTTTGTCAGAGGAAGCATCAATAATCGACCCTTTCGTCCTGGGGGTTTGGATGATGGTCATTCTTTAGAGAGAACAATTCCTGATGGTGCTCGTAATGGGCAATGGGTACATGAACTGCTGAATGGAGGCCCGGCTCTGTCTACTCCTCCAGGCCTAAAAAACGGGCTAGACTTGGGAGATCTTAAGGTGATCTACCTGATACGTGTACTAATCATTAGAAGGCAACTTATTATTTATTCAGTAATTATTCTGATAATTAAGAACTATGGTTCCATTTTTGAAGGCATATCCATGCTCCTGGAATGTCTACAAGGACCAAACTCCTATTAGTAGCACATCGGACGAGAAATTGGTGAGTTTTGAGGCTTTTCTCTGTTTAATTGGGTAGGCAATGATAGATTATGATCTTTACCTAATATATTGTCTTGTCTCGAGAGTTGTCTTTTCATTCATGGAATTTTCTGCAGGGCGAGTTATCTGTGCAGTTTGATGACTTATTTAAAAGGGCATGGGATGAAGGTGATGTTACTCAGCTGGAGGTAGAAGGTGTGGATTATCCATATTCTAGTTTTCTTTCTTGTGTTTTGGTTGGTTGTGATATTATATGTAACCTCGAGCCCCCGAGGCAAACTTTCATCTTTTTTATTTGGAAATATTGCTGATAGCTTTGAGAAGTTTGTTCGTGGATAGTCTTTTTTGCTGCTCTTGCCAACTTGCAATGCTCCTGTGTAGCAAACCCCTTGTGCTTTCTTTTGCTAATACTAATGCTGATTTTGAAAACCATTTGTGTGCAGAGGAATCGTCAGACCCAGATGGTGAAGTGGAGGTTGAGGGACCAAACAATGTCTCTGTCTTAGATGTTGAAGTGAAGGTTGAGGGGCCAAGCAATGCCACCCAGCCTGAATCATCTCTTTTAGAGGAGATACTGTCTGTTGAATCAGGTGGATTGACAACCAGTTCAGACAGGAATGTTAATGATGATGGAAGCCAAAATAAAGAGGTTGTTGTTAGATAGTGGTACTTTTTTTAGAATTATCCGTGTCAACTTATTTGGTGGATTATATTGTATATTTTGTCTGAATCCTCGATTGTCAACAGGTTCAGTCTCTCACTGGGGGTAGTGATTGGATTGCAAAGCACTTCTATGAGCTCGTGCCTGACATGGCTCTCAATTTTCCTTTTGAATTGGATGCATTTCAAAAAGAGGTGGGGATCGGTGCATATATTCCTTTCCAATCTTGAAGTGCATGCAGTATGGGATAAAAAATTGTTTGGTCACATTCCATTCCCTGCATGTCCTCTCCTTGTCCTTCGCATGGGCTGCATTGGTTTGAAAAACTTAAATTTGTTGTGAGCTTGATTGAGTGATTGATCTTGCTGGCATGTGGTCATGTTCTCAGTAACTTCATTTTCATCGAAAAACATATCAACATGATGATTGCAACAAAAACTTTCGTTTAGTTAAGTCGTTTTGGCTTTGAGAGCAGACAGTATTTCTGAAAGACTGAGGCTTTTTGATTGGAGATTGATATGCCAGTTTGGCATGGTCATGTTTGTTCTACGATGACTACAGGCTATCTATTTTCTTGAAAAGGGAGAATCTGTATTTGTTGCTGCTCATACATCAGCAGGGAAGACTGTGGTTGCAGAATATGCATTTGCACTTGCATCTAAAGTAAGTCAGTGCTTACCAGTTTCTTCTCTCGTCAGGAATATTTTCCTGAAATTCTGCAATCCTTGATACCAACTCCTAAATTTGGTTTAAGATAGTGGTGTTTCTGCTGACATTGCGAGATTTTAAATTCATGCAGCACTGCACCAGGGCCGTCTACACTGCACCCATCAAAACTATCAGCAACCAAAAGTACCGGGATTTTTGTGACAAGTTTGATGTTGGCCTTCTGACAGGTGATATTAGTTTGAGACCAGAAGCTTCTTGTCTTATCATGACAACTGAAATATTAAGATCAATGCTCTATCGGGGTGCGGATATCATACGGGATATTGAATGGGTATACTTTTCTTGTTCTGTTCGCATTTCAGTTTGCGATCAACTTCAATTATATGTTCTTATTTTCTTTGATTGCACCCAAGCTTACTTTAATTTGGTCTGTTGTGGAATAGGTTATATTTGATGAAGTACATTATGTCAATGATGTTGAAAGAGGTGTTGTTTGGGAAGAAGTTATAATAATGCTTCCAAGGCATGTCAACATCGTCCTCCTCTCGGCAACGGTAAATTTGCTTCTGTGTCCCTCTAATGAAACCATACAGCTGTTTGTGCTCCTTCTGCCTCCCTTGAGAAATCATGATACACATCTTGCATGCATCTGATTCTTATGGCTGACGCTAACTTCCTGAACGTGTATGTTTGTATATGATGTTGCTCATGTACTATTTTTATCTAGCATTTAGAATCAGGTGATGACAAAAATTTGTGAAGTGCTTCTGTGCTCCATGTTTATTTGATATTGACTGAATCATGCCTTCGAAAACACATTTAGAAAGTTACTCTGTGCCAACTGCCAAGGAACTCTGAAGTATATTAGTAATGATGTTGTCCTACCAGAATATAAGGTAGCCGAGGAAAGCTATTATCCCAAAGAAAATCAAAATTATTTCTAAATGAATGCCAGTTTCTATGGGGAACAAAGTCCAAAAAAGGGAGTTCAACTAACTATTTCTTGGATCAAGAATCTTCTTCTGATTTAGCTTATCCAACTTCCCAAAAGGTCCACTTGCAAGCTTATATATATCACATTGACATAGGTTTGCTGCAATTCATATGCAGGTTCCGAACACTAAAGAATTTGCTGACTGGATTAGTAGAACAAAGAAAAAGGATATTCGTCTTACTGGGTAATACCATCTCCTATTCTTGTTTTTATCAACTTTTGTTTAATGTTGGGAAGTCTTAGATCTCTATTGTATTTGTATATGTCAGCCATTTTCCCCATTATTAGAGCTGCGTGGCATATTTTTGTGACGTACTGGCATATTTGTGTGTTCAGAACAACAAAAAGACCAGTGCCATTGGAGCATTGCATATTTTATTCAGGAGAGCTGTACAAAATATGCGAGAATGAAACACTTATAGCCCAGGGATTGAAAGCTGCTAAGGATGCATGGAAGAAGAAAAACTCTAATACTCCTGGTGGAAGTACTGGACCTCTACCAGGGTCTCCAGCTGTGCAAAGTGGAGGACGTGGTCAAAAGCACGAGTTGTCTAATCGTGGCAAACAGACTAAGCATTCTGGTCCTCAGAATATGGGAAACCGTGGAAATCAAAACAGAGGCACCGGTCAGTCTAACTGGGGTCCAAGGAGATCCGAGGCTCAAATGTGGTTGCAGCTTGTTAACAAGCTTTCAAAGAACTCCTTGCTTCCTGTAAGTTAGGTCATGTTTCATTTACACATATTTATTAGTCTTTTTCTTATCAAATCCAATATTTTCTGTGATAGAGTTTGCCTTGGAATCACAATTTGGTTGTTTACCCCATGGCCATAAAGGATTAATGTTCAGTTCTTTTTTAATTTAATTTTTCCTTAAGTGAACCCGATATGTCTTGTATTTAATTGAATGTTTACATGAATTAGTTCAAGTAATAACTGTAGTACAGAAATTACCTACTTTTTTCCTGATGTTAGATGTTTCTTGTACCGTAGGTAGTTGTATTTTGCTTCTCAAAGAATTGGTGTGATAGATCTGCTGATAGCTTAACTGGGACTGACCTCACGAATCGTTCCGAGAAAAGTGAGATCCGTGTTTTCTGTGACAAGGCATTTTCGCGACTAAAGGGATCAGATCGTGATTTACCACAGGTATGATGGCCTAGGCTTTTGAATATTATCAACTTGATTACCTTGATTCATGGATAGAATTTGACTCACAGATTGTAAGAGTTCAAGGCCTTTTGCAAAGAGGGATCGGTGTGCACCATGCTGGTCTGCTTCCAATAGTAAAGGAGGTTGTTGAAATGCTGTTCTGCCGAGGAGTGATTAAGGTGCTACAGTAATTCAAATTATTATGTGGAGACTCTAATTATTATTATTATGACAAATAAAAACCTCAACCTTCGATGTTGATCCTGTATGTTTGCTTGTTCTGAAGTGATTATTAACGTTTCGTCCTCGTGTTGTAGGTCTTATTTTCAACGGAGACATTTGCCATGGGGGTTAATGCCCCAGCTAGGACAGTGAGTGCTCTGTTCTCTCTTTGTTGTGATGATAGTTCTTAGTGTGGCAATAGCAGAAGTGAAAATTGTAAATATCAGTAAGTTTACGTGGTTTTTACATGATTTGCTTGAATATCTTGAGCCAAGTAAACCAACTGCTATCTTGCTTACTAAAGTGTTAACATCTACAAAAGGTCTTCTGCCTGGAAGAAGTACGGTTTTGTTATCCTCATGACTTGAGAAAGAGATGTCTGGTATGACAGCATTCGTTGTATTCTATTCAGACTCAATGTCAAATCTTGCTAGCAGTTCTGAACTTAACAAGATAAGGGATTCCTAGGTTTTGATTCTGGTAAGAGGGATGGTCAATTTTTAATGAAGGTTGAGGAATTCTGGAGAAAATTGTTGATAACCTTTATTTTATGGGGTGGCTGGCTCATAGTATTGGGCTGTTTTAATCACATGAATCGGGCTGTAAGTGCTCAATAAGATAGAGTTAGAGGATCCTTTGGGCAAATCAGATAAAATTGGTGAGATATGAGATAGAGGATCACCATGATTAGAGGGTGAAGGATAGCATGTGTGCTTGGTGCTCACAGACATATTTTCATGAGATCACACTCGTGACCTTGATGAGGTGTTTCCTTTTCAACATCTTAGTACCACACCTAAAATCACAAAACAAAAAATACCGAGAATGAGAACAACTGCTGCATGCAAGAGTTGATTCCTGCTGCATGCAACTGTCTGCTGTATTGGGAAGATCTCTGATGCTTTTTGCAGAAGCCTTCACGATCCCTTGGTTGATGAAACTGTAATTAGCAAAGACAGGCATTTAAACTAGCGAGAGACTTGAGAAGAACTAAATAGTCCATTTGTACACCCACACATCTGTCCTGTTTTTTTCTTCTTTGTTTTTTGAGGGGGTGGAGGGGGAATAGTGAGATCCCGTCCCTTGTAGGATCTGAAACATTGATGTCTTGGTGAAAACATCATAGTTTTAATCTTGACAATTTGTATTATTCGGTTTACCTATCAATGGTCATAGAATATACAAGTGAAGCATCTGCTTTGGCTACGAAGGGTCATAAATAAATCCTTGTATTATTGGGAAGAATTCTGAAGTATCCAATTTCTGTTCTCTTTGGAATATGCAGGTTATATTTGATTCTTTGAGGAAGTTTGATGGCAAGGAATTCAGACATTTACTCCCTGGAGAATACACTCAAATGGCTGGCCGTGCTGGGAGAAGGGGCCTTGACAAAATTGGTACAGTAGTTGTTTTGTGCCGCGATGAGATTCCCGATGATAGTGATTTAAGACGCATAATAGTTGGGAGTGCTACGAGGCTTGAATCTCAGTTTCGACTGACGTATATTATGATCTTGCATCTTCTTCGAGTTGAAGAATTAAAGGTACTCTAAAATGACTGCTCTTAATTCTTACCTAGCATTTGCTTTATGTGGAACAGTGTAAATATGGAACAAATGCATTTATGGGTAAGTCCTTTGCAATTTTACTGTTTTGGAAGTGTGAACTACACTCCACCAAAAAGAGCTATGCAAAAAACAGTTAAGTTTCTGTTCAGTGACTGGTGATATGGGTATGGGTTTCCTCTTGTTCATTTTGTGGTTGTCTTGTCCAGTACCATGAATGGCAGACAGAACTGCTAGACAGTTAAATTGTCTCATCCTATACGGTGCTAAAAGGAAATGGATCTCTTCTACAAATTCTTCCAGATGGTATATTATGTCACTGGTACTTTCTATAACAGTTTTGATTCCATTGAGTTCTCGTAAAACGGGATCAGTCTTACTCAAACTGAATCTGCAGAGCATCAACTGAATTAAGACGTAAAATAAATTCTGGGCAAGTTAGACCATCTCTCATAGTTGCACTAAAGTCTGGGCAAGTTAGACCATCTCTCACATGAGGGTCAGTTGGCATATTTCAGGCTTACGAAGTCATTACATAAGTGAATTCAAGGTGTTCATTTTTTCCATGGAATTTTTTAGAACTGCAATGTGTTGAAAGAATTTGATTCTAGATTATGGACCTAGCGGCTTCTTTATTCAGACATTTCAAATTAGCTATTGGACATGGAATCTGCTGTCGATATTTTCTTTCTTCATGCTTTGGCTGATAGAGAAGTGTAAGTGCAGGTGGAGGATATGCTGAAGAGAAGTTTTGCTGAGTTCCATGCTCAGAGAAAACTTCCTGAAAAACAACAACTACTTCTGCGGAAGCTTGCTCTGCCTACAAAAACTATTGAGTAAGTGCCCTAGCAACTCTGCAGAACTTTTCTTTTTACGGTCGAGAGACCTTATCTGTAGCTTTGCCCTGTGTAGATTAGGCTTTCGTTTTTGGTTTGTTGGTTTGTGTGCTTGTTGGGAGGATGTGTTGATCACTACATATGATAGGTCATTTAGCAATACGCTTAAAATTTTGAAATTAGTTGTATAATATTAAAATTAATTTAAAATTAGATAAAATATTAATAATAATTTAATAAGCAGCTAAATTCGTTCTTGTATCATGTACACGTTTAGTATAAGAGACAACAAGCCAACATGGAAAAATCAGATGATTTAGTAATAACCATGGATGGGAATTTTAAAATCATAATACATACATGATTACTATAAGTGTATTATATGAATATTAACCAGCTATCCATGATCACTATACAATCTCTTGAAAATTTAGTTCGACCTCTCTTCTTCACTCCCTTAATCCTATTGGGAGGGGCATATTTGGAACACGACAGGTTTACTAGATTTAATACAAATACATCATTATTAGCAAACCAAACACTACATCTTGACATTACAAGTACTTTTACAATCCCATATCAACCATACATGGTTGTGAAACAACCCCAGATGTGTTGTTTCATGTATCTGTGCTCTGTTGCCTCGGAGAAATTTTGGTCTCTTCAGCAGCTGTCTTTTTTTACGATTGAGCTTCCACCACCGTTCCTGCATTTTGAACTTGGATTTTTATCCTCTTCTTGAAGGTTTGGGATCATGTTCTTGTATTTGTACATATTTAAAGATGGAGGGGGTGGAATGCATCTTACGATCTCTTAATGTAACGTTTTGCAGTCTTTGTCGTCACAAATATAGCATCAGTAGTAACAGAAGCCAACATCAAACATTTGACTATATGAGTATGCTGAATTCCCAACGATTCTAGAACTTCTTGTTCTCTCATAAAAATCAAATTTCTTATTTTGTAGTTGTATCAAAGGCGAACCATCAATTGAAGAGTATTACCAGATACATTTAGAAGCTCAAGATTATGATGACCAAATATCGGTTGCAGTTATGCAGTCCTCTGCTGCTCAACAATTTCTGAACCCTGGAAGAGTGGTTGTTGTGAGATCACAATCAGTGAGTTGTTATTGCTTTTGGTTTAGCAAAATTGCCCCTTAATAATGGTCATATCTGCATTCTGTTAAAACTTGTTGGGGTTAATTGCTACAATTCTAATGATCTCTAATGTTTGCCATGATACATGGTCTTTGGTTGTTAAAGTCTTCAAATGTGAATCAACAGGCACAAGATCATTTGCTTGGAGTGGTCCTGAAAGCTCCTTCAGCCACAATGAAACACATAGTCTTGGTGCTGAAACCTGATTTACCACAATCATTGCAAATCTCCTCAAGTAGTGGTAACATGCAAGAACAAAAGGGCAGTGATTTCCCACAGGCTGTTATGTTGATGCCCAAATCAAAACGTGGGTTTGATGAACAGTACTTAACCTCAGCTGGCTCTCGGAAAGCTTCAGGAGCTGTGAACATAAAATTACCATATCAGGGTTTTGCAGCTGGTTTCAGCTTCGAAGTCAGAGAGATGGATAGCAAAGAATTTTTGAGCATATGTGATCGTAAACTAAAGATTGACCAAGTTCGGCTTCTTGAAGATGGTAACAGTGCAGCTTTCTCTAAGACAGTTCAAGAGCTGTCGAAACATAGAACTGATGGGAAGTATCCTCCACCCCTAGATCCAATAAAAGGTAAGACCTTTGCCTCATTGAGATTACATTTACTTTCTGCAGAAGATCATCAGGATAACTTGATAGAATCAGTGATGATCCAAAAAAAAAAAAGACTTGATAGAATCAGTGATTTTTTTTAATATATTTTTCTATCTTTTATTCAACGTCCTGTTTGGCAACATTTTTACTTGAGTTGATTTAATTGATTATTAATCTTATCATAGATCTTGTGTAGTGGGTGACCTTTCCCCATTAGCTAATTGATCACGTGAAAGGTTGCTAATGGGCCCATTCTCTTTAGACCTGAAGTTGAAGGATGTCGATCTTGTGGAAGCATATGGAAAATGGACAAACCTACTGCAAAAGATGGCCATGAATAAATGTCACGGGTGCATAAAGTTGGAGGTACACATGGCTTTGGCAAAGGAGATAAAGAGCCACAAGGATGAAGTTGATTCTCTGCAGTATCAACTTTCAGATGAAGCACTAAAACAGATGCCGGATTTTCAAGGCCGGGTATGCCATGGCAACGTGGATTTTACTGCTCCATTTATGTGTTCTGCAGAAATTCATCAATGTAGTTCTTTGAATTAGTTGGTTTTGTGTCTTTACTTATTGCATACATAGTTGTGATCATTTCTGGATGTGCCATTTTGCAGATAGATGTGCTGAAGGACATAGGGTGCATTGATGCTGACCATGTAGTTCAAATCAAAGGTCGTGTTGCCTGTGAGATGAACTCAGGGGAGGAATTGATATGCACGGAATGCTTGTTTGAAAATCAACTTGATGACCTGGAACCCGAGGAAGCTGTAGCGATTATGTCTGCCTTTGTGTTCCAGCAGAGGAATACTTCCGATCCTTCACTGACACCAAAACTCAAACAAGCAAAAGAAAGGTGATTGATTCTCTAGTATCAATTATTGTTTCTTATCGAAGTTGTACTACAACTTCCGGATATTTGTTTCTATAATGTATTGCGGGGTTTATGACTGACATACTCATTGATCATATTTGGATCAGATTGTACAACACAGCTATAAGGCTGGGAGAGCTTCAAGCCGGGCATAACCTACAGATAAGCCCCGAGGAGTACGCCCAGGAAAATCTGAAGTTTGGTCTTGTTGAAGTCGTGTATGAGTGGGCAAAGGTTAGCTTGCAGGCAACCCTGATAATAATAACCCTTTTGAAATGATTTGTAGTGGCAGATGAGATGTTCTCGCCGATTTGCATGTTTTTGTTGGTTTGCTGAAAATCAATCGTTGGTGGGCAGGGTACTCCCTTTTCCGAGATTTGTGAACTGACTGATGTTCCTGAGGGGCTGATTGTACGGACCATTGTGAGGCTGGACGAGACGTGCCGTGAATTCAAGAACGCCGCTTCCATAATGGGCAACTCCGCGCTCTACAAGAAGATGGATTTAGCCTCCAATGCAATCAAGCGGGACATCGTTTTTGCAGCTAGCTTGTACATCACCGGAGTGTAAGTTTAACCAAAACTACTCTGCCTTGGCAAATGTAAATTCATGTTCTTCACAATCTGTCTAACAAAAATTTCCCCGGTGATATATTATTTTCTGTTAAATCTTCCCGCTACAAGTTCCATCCTCAGATGACATTAGCATTCATTCTTCCCCTTTGCTAATTCTGAGTTCTAACTGTTAGGACTTACCCAATCTTTGTGCAATTAACTAATTGATTTTTTACGCACTTGGCTTTGGTTCCTAGTTGAGATGCTCAGTTCAGGGCTCGCCCTTATGAACTGGTTTAACATCGATTCAAAGCGGATCCATTCACTATCCGAATCCATAGACGTCCAGTTAATCATCTTTCACCAGCGCAGAAATGCGCACTTGTGCAAATTGATTGAATTGGTTGTGCCACCATTGATACCTCCGAATTGTAAATAGATAGCGTCCAACCTCAAAGAAGACGGGATTAACAGTAGTACTACTCGACACGATCCTTCCCACAAATATGGTAGGAGCTGCAGCCTTATTGCACATCATAAAAGGAAAGGAATCACCCATGAAAACTACTAACACACATCCAAGATCAAGAGTCGTGCACTGAAACAGAGCCGCAAATGAGACGTGGAGCATCAACAGCGGCGGACTTGGTATCAATTGTCGCTTCTTCTGGGTTTATCTGAATCAAAAATAACCTGCAATTACACCCCGAAAAAAGTGTCACTTTACTCGAAATGTCAGTGATGGAGAAAGCAGAAGCAGGTGGAGAGAGAGGGTATATACAGGAGCATGGGCAGTGTCAGGGATCCACTCATTGGTGGCTGGGTTGCCCCTGTGGCTGCTGGCATGGTGCTGATCATCACCATCAGGTGCCAAGCTGAAGTTGTTGACTTTGCCTTCCATCTTGATGAACCCTGTTCCTGTCTGCATCATTTTTAGGCAACATCTCAATTGCATTATTCCTGTTATACTATATACTACATGCAGCAGTTGTATAATATAATAACAGGCAGCATTATCTTCTTCCAAGTGGCAGTGGTTACCGTGTGATGCTGCTTGTCGACGCAGTTGAGATCCTGATAGTAGTCTGTTTCCACAAACTCCTCCCCCATGCCCTCCTCGCTTCTTCCACCGCCACCCAGTTTCTGCCATTCCCAAAGACACAAAATCAGAAACAAGAAAGAAGAAAGGAAACCAAACCAAACCATCTAAATGAAATGAATGAAGGGAAGTACTTGAGTGTCGACATCCTCGAGGCGTTGGAACTCGACGTACTCCGGGATAGAGGGGTCGCCGTCGACTGCAGCAGAATCGACGTATTGAGCAGAAGAAGGGTCGCTCCGCTGGGGCTTGGTGTGGCGCTTGGGAGCTACTCCATCGAAGTACCCTCTGGTCTGTTGCTCAATCTCTGCCTCCTGCTCCGCCGACAGATGGGCGTCGCTCCGATTTGGCCTGCTGCTGCAGCATTCCATATTTCTTTCCTGATGAATGAATGCTCTTTTGGGTTTTCCTTTGGTTGGGGGGCCATAATATATATAGAAGCTTAGCTTCAGAAAATATCTTACTAGGTGGCTGCATCCAGATAGGAAAGAAAAATATCTGGCAATCAATCTCACATTCACATACTCGGACTGAGATCTTATCCAAATTGCTCGTCCTATTGGTCCACCCTACCATTGGCATTGAGTGCGCCTAGTTGGTGGGAAATGGAATTGGTGGAAGATCATGTTTTCAAGATGATGAAATTTAGACCAAGAAAGCCGTGTAATTTGTAAAGCCAAACATGGATTATGGGGCGGAAACAAGTAGCAAACTAATATGGGAAAAGGTTGCCGAGAAACACCCGTTTTATTCTCACGCTTTAAGATGAATCTAATCTAGATTTCTAAAGTGGTAATCTATCTATAGGACCTAGAAATTTTATATAAGAGTGTCCTCTTTTAAAAAATAAATTTAATAAAAGAAATATATGAAAATAATTTATAATTAAAAGTTCACGATGCGTTTTCATATTTCGAAATAATTGTAGAATACATTTGGTGTCTATACAACTCAAAAAGATTGTCTATGTATATTCTACTAGACAATCATTAACGAAATGATGACATATTTGATTTCTAAACTTGTTTTTTTATGTAACCCAAAGCTGAAAATACTCTTTCAACACTTGTTCTACAACCATAAAATCAATACAAATTAAGAGTAGCTTGAAATTAGTATAATTATTAGATTTTAAAAATAATTAGAGATCGAAAATGACATTTTACTATTACACCGTGTTTATAATTGAACAACAAATGAGTTGTAGCCTAATAGAAATTATCTTTATTATTAATAATAGTGCTCTAGGTTTGAATTAACCAAAATTACCTCTTATATTCACATACGTAAACCTAAAAATGATAGTAGGATAATCATTTTTTCAAATTTCAGGGGTGTCTCCCACTATCAACTATAGTTTTTTGTTCATACATAAATTACCACCGAGAGTTGGAAAATCGTTTTACAAAAATTTAGGGGTGTCCCGGGATACCCCCAAACACCCTTGGGTCCGCCCCTGTATCTATCTATCTATATCTATATCATATATATATATATATATATATATATATATATATATATATATCTATATCTATATCATATATATATATCTATATCTATATCATATATATATATATATATATATATATATATATATATAATATTATGGCAATTCAAAAGTAAATGTTTGCCACATAAGCACTTGGAGAGTTCACAGGTTGCCTAAATTGACTATTTTCTTACAAAAAATAAGTTATTGAAGTTTTTTTGTATTATATCAATGTACACATTAATAGATAATGGATGAAGAATGATATATATCACATTTGCTATAACTCTTTTTTAATATTTATTTTCTTTTATCTAATAATTCATTTTTGGTTTTTTTTTTTTTTGCTTTTGCATTATATCAATGTACGCATCAGTAGACTAATGTATTTAGAGTGGCACATATCACATTTTTTTAACCCAGAAATATCTGATTGAAGTTTACTAAGAAAATTTTTACTCATTTTTACTAAAATTTAAAAATATATTACATTTTGATGAACAATTTAAACAAATACACATAAATATATTACATCTCAAGTAGAAACTTGACCTAGCAATAATAGTTATTTATTGAAAAAAACTTATTCATTCTTATTAAGTGAAAGCATAAGAATCACAGGTGAAATAATTTATATTGTATCATAAGTTCACATTACTAATATTTGCTATAGATCATGTTGATTAAGCAGAGGTCTTACGTCATATATATGTCTTTCTTCATCCATTATCTATTAATACTAGTGTGGGCCCCGGCCAGTTGGCCGGAGGAAGGTGAGGTATGAAATTTGATAATATAATGGGGTGTATAGCTTATTGTTGTATAGTTTTTTTTGAGAAATTCGTGATAAAAATAGTGAATTTTAGCAGGAAAAAGACATGAATGATGCAATGAATCTAAAATCGGCCTTATGAACCAAAATCAAGTACATGTTACCTTGTGAAATAATATTGTTTCTGGTAATATGATGAGGTGGAGTAAGTTTTATAGAAATCAAATTCCAGAAAATCGAATAAAAAATCGCCTATCCCGTCGGTTTTCGGGAAATGAGCATCTCACAATCGTTGCTAGCTTTTACTCGGCCCGTTGGTCGATTAATTTGCTTTATAAAACTTTCATCTTGCCGTCATTGTGCTTTCTGGTTTTTGTTAGGCCATGATAAAATCTAAGGAAATCAAGAACGAATAACACAATTTGGGATAGGAACCGCCGTTGTCGTATCCTAGAAAATGGTGGTAAACACAGACTGACCTGCCAAACTGGTTTGGATTGAGATTTTTATCGGGTATCAGGGAACCATGTGATTATAAATTAGACTTGATCAAAACGGGCCAAAACTTGAAATTCAGCATGTTTGACCGACCCATGCCAACTTCTAATTATTCTTTACTTTTAAACTTTCTATTTGAAAATAAAAAATAGTGAAAGAAAAGAGATGACTGCAATTCGCCATTTGCACATCACTTATTCGAGAATAAAACCATAAAAATTCAAAAGGAACTGAAAATGTTTAGGATCGTTTTAATGTTTAAAATAACCAAATAGATCGTTCTGTTTAGTTTTTTACTAACAAATACCAAACGATTCCCTATAAAATACACTATAATTTGATCATTATGATATCAAATAATTATATAATATATATTTGAAATTAGGGATGGCAATTTCAACCTGACCCGATTTACCCAACCTGTTTGACCTGTTTTGGAGCAGGTCAAACCCGTCCCGTAGGCGGGGCGGGCATGGGTACCTCTCATCGACCCGACCTGCCCTGACCCGCCCCATTCTCGACCCGTTCTTGCCTATATTACATATAATCTTAGTCAAATTACTTAGAATTTTCCTCTTATTACATTATATTTTAGCTATGATAAAGTTGTAAATAAGTGAAAACCTCAATTTCTTCAATAATTTAACTACATTTTATCATATTATGGTTTCTTTCTTGTTCTTTTAATGAAAATAACGAATTTTTCTAATGTTTTTCGCATAATTACATACCCAACGGGTCGACCTGCCCCTACCCGCGCCCCGTGATAAATTACCCGACCTACCATGGGGCGGGTATGGGTATCGAGATACCCGCCCCGGACCTGCCCCATTGCCATTCCTATTTGAAATGATAAAAATTGGACTAATTGGGTTGGTCGAGGTTGAACCATTGAATAACTTTAAAATACATTATATTTTAGCCACTAAGATATAAAATAATAGCATAATATATATTATGCCAGAGAAAATAGCTTGTTGTAGAATGACAAACCAATGATGTTGATTTGTTTTACTTGATGGCCAAATCCCGTGTAGGTCAGACCCATTCAACTCTTTTATTTTATGGTTAGCGGTTAGCCCATTAGATACCATGCATTAGTTTATTGTTAAATTTTTTATTTTTAGTAATAAAAATGAGTATTGTTTTTGCCTTTTCATATATATTTTATCACCAGGGAGAAATAAAAAGGCTTAAAGAAAAAAATTGACACTCCTGGACCCGTTTAAATCCGCATGTGTACGGTAAGTTGGCCCGTTCCACAGATGAAAGAGAAAAAAATTGACACTCCCTATTCTACCCTTCCTACAAACGCTCCTGGAGCAGGGAATTTGAAATGGGGGAAGGGTTTTTTCCTCCCTGCTATAATATGTTTTTAATTTAAAAAGATACAACAAATGTACTTAGTGTCATTGGTTATGATCCTTGCTTTTTTTTAAAATGGTCATGGTTCGAATCCCAGTACGTGTCTTTTTAATGAATAAAAAAAAGTAATTGTGAAGACCAAAATTTCCTTCCTACTTTCACTCTCGTTGCAGGAAATTTGAAATGGGGCTCCCGTTTTTCCCTTCGATGTATTATATTACTAGCATTGGGCACGGCCCGTTGGCCGGTGGAGTATAAACCGTTAGTGTATTTTGTTGTACTGTATTGGATGGTGGAGTATATAATACTCCACCAATACTACTCAATGGCAAAGCAATTTCATTTATTAACTTCAACCATTCCATGAGTAGGCTTTGGTTATAAGATCCATCTCAATGATGCATTATGCTAACTTAATTATCATGAGTGTTTCAGTAAGAATTTCTTCCCATCACACCAACCAATTTGGAGATTGCAGCACTCTAATTCATGGTTGTTCTGCTGCTGGTAGTATGAATGAAGCCTTCAGATTGCTTAATGAAATGGTAAACTATGGTGTATTACCAAACAGAACCACGTACAATCAAATCAGGATAGATGAGGGGAGTCGGATGTTGCTTTGGATTTGTGATAAAGAATGTTAAATGAAGGAACTCATCCTTCCGCCATTACATACCTGCTATGATAAATGGTTTCTGAAAGCAAGGAGACATTGGAAACTCTGAAACTATTGGATGAGATGACAGAAGTTTGCTGATCTCAACCTAGCCCCGTTAGTTGAAGATTGCATTATACATAGAGAAACAAAGAACATCTATAGAATTAATGACATAGCACATGCCTAAAACCATGAAGTAAAAGCTAATGCATAACTTGATAAGCCCTGGGAACTGGGAAGCAATATGTCTACAGGTTGCAGCATCATAATCACTGAAATTCAAATTGATGTTGTCCAAAAGTGATACACAGAATTCCTACTGCCAAGAAAAAGAGAAAATCTAACTTGGAGTTGTGAGTGACAAATACATGTTCAATAAACTGAGTCAATAGAGAGCTAAAAAGATATTGAGTACTTGGAGTGGAGCTGCTGGTTTCCTCCAACATTGGAGCTGCCTCTGTGAGGGACTTACTTGATGCCTCACTCAATTGTTGTACTCAAATTAGAGTCATAAGAGAGCTTGTAAAGATGAAATTAAGTCGGTACCATTTACCTAAATGAATTTAAGTACAACTAAAATGGTCTTCACCTACCCCAAATGGATCATGATCCACCCTAACCACGGAATACTCACTTTGAGGATTCGAGAAGTTGAACTCGGTAAATTGAACATGT